CCCCAAAACCCCAAAACCCCAAAACCCCTTTTCATGAATATGTTCTATAATTCATTTAAATTTTGAAAATGGCCTATCAAAATCCTTTCAGCGCCATTCCTATTCTCAGAGTTAACCAGGAGCAAGAAGCTCCTGATGACCGAGAATCTAGAGAAAAAAGAGTCAAGAGACATGCTTCAAAGTACTTTGTCGATTCTGATGAAGATCAAGAAGGTATTTGACTATTTTTGCTGTATTTTCCAATTAAAATATTGCTCTTTGATCCTAAGCTTTTCTAGAGAACAAGCATGTAGTCATAAATAAGCCTCAGCCAGTTTCTGGAGCAAAACAACCGATCAGCTGGCCTTCTCTGTTCAAGAACTTTGAAGGCTCAGACGATGACAAAAAGAGGGCTTTAATTCATGTTGAGTCATTACTCGACCAAGAGAAAATAAAGGGTCAAGAGAACCAACAGGTTTATCACAAAAATGAGAAAATATACCTTTCAAAAATCTCCAAACTTGAGTCAGATGCATTAAAGAAGGAGAAGAGTGCTAATGACTTCAAGACGAAAGCCCAACTATTTGAGGGTAAACTTTCTAACTTAACTGAACAACTCAGCACTCAAAAGGCTGAAAATCTGATCCTTAAGGAAGAACGGGATGAAATCAAAGGCCAATATACTGAAGAGATCGACAAGTTGAAGCAAGATCTAAAGAATAAGAGTAAAACTCTAGAGACTTGTAGAAATGATCTTGCCCAAGCTAAGGATAATTCCATGAGGTTTGAGACTTCCCTCAGGAACAAAGATGCAGAGGTTGTCAGACTCCAGATGCAACTGGATCGTGAGAAAGGTAAGAAAATACCCTCTGAGATTTATAGAAATCAGAGATAGAGAGGAAAGAGAGCTTCGCAAACAGATCAACTATGAATCTGAAAAACATATTAATGCTGTCAGAGAAGCTGAGAGGAACTTGTCCAAATTTGCCTCAATTGAAGATCAACTTGAAATGCTCAAGAGAGAAATTGACCGTAAAGATAACACAATCCAAGCTAAAGAGACAGAAATTGACCGACTCAAGCAGAAAAATCTAGAGCAAGAACGTAAGTTCAATGATGTCCTCAACAAAGAGAAGGATGCTTTACGGGATGAAATGATGTTTAAACTTAAAGAAAAATCACAAGATCATTCTATCGATGATTACAAAAGGCAAATTTTATCACTCACAAAGCAAAATGAAGACTTAATTGCTAAAACAGAAGGACTCCTAGCAGCCAAGGAAACTCTGGCAGGGGAGATTACAAGTATGCAGAGGGCTCACAACGATAGTGTTATGAGGATCAAAGAGCTAAATCTGAAGTATGAGACTCATATAGCTGATCTTGAGAAAAAGTTGAGCACTGTAAACATGGATATTTACAAGAAAGAAGCTCTGATCGCTAAAATTACTACAGAAAATGAGCATCTCTGCCAAGAGAACTTCAAGTTGAAGAACATAAAAGATATCAATGATAGCTTGACCAGACTTCCAGAAACATGTTTCATTGATCTCCAGAGTGCAAAGAAACAAAGAGAGGCAATCCATGAGGCAACCAAGTCGATGATAGATGAAATGGCTGAAGAGAAAGCTAAAGGAAAACAAGACCTCCTTTTAAACAACATTGCACAGCTTGAAGAGAAGAACAAGAAACTATACCTTGACATGTATGAAAATATTGGAGCCAATCTCAATAAGTACGAGATTGGGTATAACTACAAGAATAAGCTTGAAATGGAGGAAAGGCAAAAGCATCAGGATCTCAAGGACCGGAAGGAAAGAGCCAAGACTGAGTTTCAATACAAGCTAGACACTAAAGACTCCAAGAGATATGAAGATTTCCTTGAGGATCAAGTCAAAAAGAATCATAAGGCATCTTCAGAATACAAAATCGAGCCATCAAATGTAGACTCCTTGTTGTCAAAATATAATATCTAACAAGTTTCAATAATTAATTAATTTTAGGGGTTTTGGGGTTTTGGGGTTTTGGGGTTTTGGGG